GAAACTATGGATATAGACGACATGCACAACTCACAAGAAATATAAAAAAACATTCAACTTATAAATACTAAACTTTAATACGCCCGAATTATACCAATCAACGAGTGATTTAACAAAACTTGAAAAAATCACTATCCGGTGGATAACGTTATCCGGTCTTCGTACAACCGGCCCCAGGAGTGCAATAGACATTATGCATAATGACGTCACAAGGCTTGATGCCCGCGAGGAATGCTGGTCTTAGTAGTCATCGCCCGGGAAAATGTCGATAAATACAAACGACTCTACAATTCACGTATTTAAAACAAAACGTTTGGCATGCAGGAATGGGTTTTCTGCGGAAACTATGTTGTGAAAATGGAAAATTATCCATCTGAAGAGTTAAATAAAACTCTTCAAATTATTTTGTCATGTATACAATAAATACGGCGGCTCGTGCAATTTTGGCACATTTCTCAAAAATCACTTGTAGTGCAGCCATATAATCAGAGACCTTAAGATGTTGGACGGCAGAGCGACGCGACGGCCAAAACAATTTCATTCAAATAAATGATTGTAAAGAAAGCTTATCGTATCTTATTTTATCAATCGTATGAATACAGTTTGAAAAGACCAGAACAGAGGCTTTTTATTGAGTAGAGGCACTGAGTATCCACTTCTTACGTACTGAAATGCAAACGTTGTACAGTACACAGGACGCAAAACTCTGGTTTACTGGTTGTAGACAGACCGTGGACGTAGTCTAAATCTCCCATGGAATTTTAATTATTCATTTCTTTGTATTACTAGCAGTCGCCGTCCTAGATCTTAAGGTCTCTAATAACTTATGGACTCTTGTCAGTCCAGACAGTAGGATATCCTAGCCTACGGGCTCGGTCCATATACGAACGAAGAAAGAACGAAACTAATATCCTACAGTGTGGACGTCTCGCTCATGTAGCAGAAGTTGTACCTGAATACATTTTGTTTAGCTGGAGCGAATTACAAAAATTGTACAGTCAACCCATCCTCTTGCTATACTACTATAGTCTTTTATTTAAATCCATATCTGAGATTTCTCAAGATGTTGTTTTTCGGACTTTGTTTTGCGTATATATTGTAAATATATTTTCTAATCAAGTTACTCCAGTTAGAGTTATTCAAAAAATTCTGTTTTATAGCAAAAAAGTTTGCGACCTTCATGCTCCTGTATTTTTGTAAAGCAAAAAAATGGCATCATATTACATTTCCGCATATTTTGTGCTCTTGCAAAGCACACTACACAGACAAATAAACGTTAGCTGGCGATTATTAACGCTAAACTTCATTTTTCTTTAGAATTATGTGATGAACACACGGTGGAATATGACAAGAGACTAGAACGGCTCCAAAGTTTAATACCCATTCGCTAGAAAAAGCCACCTAACAGTGTACAGACTGGTTACGGACCCATCTATACGAACTAATCTCTCTGTCAGCTATTGCTAGTATACCTATTTCAACAAGTTATAAATACACGATGTAAACGACAAGAAAAACTTACCTTTCAGAAACAGGGAAACGACAATCAATGTTACAAAATGAAAACATTTTGGAAACATCTTCTTCAATCGACGAATTAGACGTAATGAACCAATGCAGCCAAGCAATATCGTAGAAATAGTTACAGAAACTCGGCATAAAGTCTGTGATGCTTTTGAAAAAAGTTTCGCCTGTGTCTATTGTGGTTTAATCGCAACACGCATCAATGAAAGCCATCATATATCACTTTTAAAATGCTTCGTCGTTTGAACTCTGTGGCTATATACCAGGGAAAGCTGTGTATCGGTATATATTACAGAGATATTGAGTTCTACGACTGGACATATTTATGCGAAAACTCGCTTCGCAATGCATATTGGCCAATTGGGAAAGGGGAACAATTTTCTCACGAAACAAATGTTATACGATACACGTGAACTATGATCATGACGCACGAGAAAATTCAGCCTTTTGGTGCGATTTTGTTTATTTTTTTTGGTCAAAGCTGAACATAAATTTCATTTTATTGCTTTTATTGAAATTTTCCCAGCGTGTATATGCGTGTTTTTTTAAACTATAAATTTATATCGTTCATGATAAATTAAAACGAGGAAAAGGAAATAGTTCGCTTGATTTCTTTTGAATTAACCATCCGAATAAGGCGTAAAAAAATACCTGTGGTCCGGTTTCATATCGTGAAAAAATTAGGGTCAGTAGGTCGGAAATAATTTTTTTTTTAATATATTTTTCATGGTTTTGGCGGTTTTTTGCTGGGCGATTTGCAGTAGAGTCCCGACATCAATATTAACTAGAGATGCGTATTTCCTATGGACGAATTTAGGCAATTTGGTTCAATAATTAGTGTGACAACAGACGTCATTTTGGCACGCTGTATGAGCAGCCCGCAACCACCTGAAGAAAATAGGGTCGCACGCGTTGGAAAAAAAAATAAGGTCGACAGAAAAAAATAGGGTCGGTCGGGAACCGGAACCACAGGTATTTTGTTTTTACGCCTAAATCAGTTCTACTTGAGCGCTCACAATTCAAAAGAAATTGAGCGAAAAGTTTCGAGCTTTAATGGGAGGTGCAACTGCATGGCGTTTACCCAACTATCTTTGAATGCGTTCGACCGCGAATCTCGATAACCGCAACTAATGATAACAAATCACAAGCTTTATATAATTGCTTTTTATTCATTACCCTGTGCGAGGATTAATACATTGAATTGAAAACTGATAAACTACCTAACCACTACACACTTTACCTCAAAACCTATACAGACATCTATAAATCATTTGAGATCTCAAGAAAACGATGACTGTAATACACAACTATAACAAGATATTTATGCACGGTTCTTGGCTAATTAATTCCAAGTCCTGAATTAGAATACGTTAATTAGTTATCAGTGTCAATTACGTCTGCTAAATTATTGTATTAGAGTCATAGAATAGAATCATCTACTTTTAGTCGCACAGGAATTGCCTAGAAAAATCAGACAACTGGGAACTGAATCTTGTCTATTTTCTGTCACTTTTTTACCATAAAATGCAAAAATTGCAAACCGTAGTCAATCGAGATATAGTCTAGAATTTCGGCGAACAAGTTTGTTCAAGAAACTTTTTCTTCATGCAAATTTAATCGAGCAATGGCATCAATCATCGAATAAACTTTGCTGTTTATTACAGTACAGTCTATTAAATATTAGCCAATTAGGAGCTGTTTATATGGAGTCGGGCTGGCCCAGTATAGTTCATTAAAACAATCGTTTATGTAAGAAAAAAATTCGTGAAACGATTCACCCCGGTTCATATGAAAAGCCTCTTATCAAGTGTACTGTTAATAAGCATAATATACATGAAAAAATTTCTCAATTCTGATTGGCCAAGAGCAGTTCAATTTTCTAGAAATACAGTGCAAATTTCATTGACTATTTAGGCTTTCTGATTGGCTTAAAATATTATGAAACAATAACATAAGCAATTTCCAGCGGAAATAATAAAAAAAAAACATTTAGGAATTTTTAAGAGTGATTGTATTAATTTTTTCATGTATATTATTAATAAGTAATAGTATGGTTTTCTAGTGCAATTTGAAAAAACGACACCTGTTGTGAGTTTTTCAAAGACTCGTCCTTCGGACTTGTGCAATTTTGATAGTCTTTGAGAAACTCACTCGTGCTGGTTTTTTTTCCAAATTGCACTTGAAACCATACTCTTTACTACACAAATTGCAAACGATATCTGCGCAGTGAAGTCGTCTGAACTATAATCGTAGCTCATTGCTTTGACGCTTGCTGCATGGGTTTCAAGATCATATCTCAAATGACTACATGCCAAAACAGGCAAAAAAAAGCTTCTGCCTTACTCCCAGCTATCTGCTTCGAGACATTTCCGGTGCGACAGACTATTTATGAAAGTTTTACAAAAAAATAGCATTTGATTCGGCTAAAATATTCCCATGTGTTTACAGTTTGGACAATTATTATATTCACATTCTTTTACAGTATATTTATCAACTACTCAAAATTAACATATGCACAGATTATATATCATCAAACTTATCAAAAAATTATGCCACTACCATACAAAGGTTTAAGCTGCCCACCTCACGGGAAATTTAATTTAAAGTCCTAGTCAATAGACCATTTCCATCCAAAACCTACGCCATTTTGATCAATCTGATGCATTGTGGTCAATGTAGGCGAGAGCTCGGTCAGTGCAGGATTTTCAAAACAATGAAAGAATTGGAACATTTTGATAACTGAATCGCGACTGGATGGTATAGAACAGTGGGATTTTCACAACAATGAGAAGACAATGGAACATTTTGATCACTGGATCATGACTGGATGGCATGGAGAACAGTGGGATTTTCAAAACAATGAAAAGACAATGGAACATTTTGATCACTGGATCGTGACTGGATGGCATGGAGAACAGTGG